ATATATATATATATATATATATATATATATATGCGGGGTTTCGGTGTTTCGGTAACTTTGCCCTTTTTTTCCCCCTGTCCAAAGCCGCTTTTCGAAAGATGCCCGGAGGGAAACCCAGGGGCTGCCCAGCCTTACCTCCCGGATTTGGTGATGATCATCTCAGTACCTAGTTCATGAAACTTGTCCCAGAGCTCTTTGGTCTCCAGGCTGCAGGAGATTTTAGCCATCTCCTCGCTTGGGATGATGGGAGTGGTGGGGATGAGGGGCTCGGTGCACAGGGAAGAAGGGCTGCTGCTAAAATCCCCGTGAGGGTCCAGGCTGGATAAATCACTCAAAGGCTGGGCGCAGGAGGATTTCTCAACGAATTGTTCTGCAGGGTTTGAAGAAAAAGAAAGAGAGAGAGAGGGGGAGAGAGAGGATTCAGCCAGGACAATGCGACCACCGACATAAGCTATATATATATATATATATATATATGAAAGGCATTTATCGCTCAGCTGTCCGCGCTCTGCCCCAGCGCACCCGCAGACGTGGCCGATCCTTTAGGCGACCCCTCATCATCTGAAGGCAGCGGTGGTGATTTTCGGCGAGATGAGCTCCGGGAAGAGCCCGCAGCGGCGCCAGTCCCCAGAGGCACCGGGAGAGACGCCCGGGGGCGCGGCGGGAGCAGCACGGCCCCGGCCTCGCCGCCGCCCGGCCGTGATCCGCTCCGCGGGGCACGGCGGGGCAGAGCCAGCCCTGCGCGCTGCCCCCTGCTAACCGAGGGGTTCCACGGAAAGGTCACTAATTCTCATTAAAACGGGAGCGTTGGGCGCCGAGGGGCTGCTGAGAGCCAGGGTCACGCTGGGGGAGCACGGGACGCTGCTCCTGGATTGCGCCCCTGGCAGAGAGCGCAACGCAGAAGGAGTCCTTGCGCGGCCGCGTAGGCTCCGCGCTTCCTTAGCGGGGAAGTGAACCCCAAATACTAATTAAACAGCGGGCACGGCTCACTATCCCGGGAAAGCTGGGTCTGCCTTTCTCCCATCCGGTTTGCTGACACCGAACCCGCTCCTTTGGAGAAACAGGCTCCGGGGGAGCCGCGTGCGGCCGCGCAACCTACGCGGGTGCAGTAGCTGCTGCCGACGCGGGCCGCCCGCCACGTCTGGCTCCCGCCGGCGCTGCCGCCCTCCCCCGCAAGCCCCGGGAGCCTTCGGGCGCTTCAGCAGCTCCGCTGGGAGTTTCCGCCGGAGGCGAGGCCAGGAGGGAGCAGGGCTGCGGAGGCTCTGCCCGGCCCCGAGATGCGGCACCGGGATGCGGCGACGGATCCGCCGCCCGGCGCCAAAGAACGGGAGGAGCACGAACGCGCCCTGCCCCTCTAGGGAAAGGTTTTGCCTAAAGCTCCAGTTAATAAAAGCCGAGTCACAGGGCAGTCGTTTCCCTTCGATTTTCAGTTGAACGACATGAGGGAAGGGTTTAAAATTTTGAAAAGTTAAATTAAACAAGCATTTTCAGGGAAAGAAAACAAAAACACACACACACAAAATCTCAAACCAACCACACTAACACTAAGTTTAACACAAACCCATATAAATACGTCGACCGGGAATACTACAACGTTCCCGGCCTACATTAGCGCCCAGACTTAAAAATGAAGTTCACAATGAATCCCTAGACTATGTGAAATCTTTTGAGACAGTTGATTAGGTGCAGCAGACACTGAGGAGCTGCCTTTTCTGAATTCTTTTAAGATTGAGCGTAATCCTGTTCATTGGCGCCCTGAAAGCTTAACACATATTTTGTAGTTTTCTGCGAACTCCTGGATACACGAAAGGATGACAAACCGCAGAAACTTGGAGGGGGGGAAGGAGGGGAAGATGTTCATGTTTTTAAAAAGCTTTCAGGAGTCTGAATCGAGGCAGCCGAATAGAGAGAAATCGCTTACCCGAAAATCACAAATGCTTACAAAAAACTCCTCCCGGTCTACGGAGAGCAAAACAGCGTATATGAGCCTACATCGAAGAACTGTGGAGTGAAGGGGTTTTCAGTTCTACACACAAGTTTTACTACCCCTTGTAAGCCTAAGCACGACAACGGAGAGTCTCTATTTTGACTTCAGAATCAGAGTGGATTTGCGATATAAATTTAAGAGATTCATGTAAGCGAAGGAAAATTGAACTGCCTTAGAATGTGGGATTATTCTGCAAATGGCGAAGCTGGATGAATAAGAGGCATAAATGAAAGTAGAGGAATTTAGGAAACTCTTCATGCTATAAACAGCCTCTCCTAAAAAAACAGTCGTGGGTGATGAAAGCGCTCAACCTTCAAGCTTAGGTGGTGCTGCTTTCCTCTCTTCAGGGGAAACCTTGGGACAGGGGGGACGCGCCGCCGCCCGGCCCGGCTGCCGGAGCGGTGAGAAGGGTGTGCCAGGGCGGACAGGACAGACGGACGCACCCCACGGACACCGGCGGTCACCCCCGTCCCCACTCACCCAGAGGCTTGATGGTGCTCTCGGGGGACTCCTTGTCCTTGGAGCTGCCGCTAGACATGAGGGCGGCGATGGAGAAGGCGTTGGCCCGGGAGGAGAGCTGCGGCTTGGGGGGCGGCGTGTACTCCATGGCCACTGTGCGGGGACGCGGCTCGGTGCGGCGCTGCCCGGACGGGGCGGGGGGAGGACCGGCCGGGGGTGGCGGAGCCGGGATACCGGGAGCGCTCTGCTCCCGGCGCCGCGAGCTCCCCGCCTTAACGCGGGGCCGCGGAGATCCTATCGGCCGGCGGCCAATCGGCGCCGGGACACGTCAAGGGCCCCGGCCCGGCCCGGCCCGGCCGCGGGGGAGGGGGCGGAGGCGGGCAGCAGCAGCAGCAGCAGCAGCAGCAGCAGCAGCAGCAGCAGCAGCAGCAGGAGGGAGGGACGGACGGAGGGAGGGAGGGAGGGGAGGGCTCTGCCCGCCCGCCCGCCCGCCCGCAGGATGGGGAGGGGGCGGCCGGCCCTCGGGACAGCTCCCTGCAGCCACTCCCCTTTTGGGCACCCCAGCCCCGCTCCCCGCCGGGGCCCCGGCTGCGGTTCGGGGAGCGCCATCCGCTCCTCTGAGCCCCGGCGGGGGAAGGAGGGGGCAGGCCTAGGGATACTCCCGAAGAGGTCCCTAGGCTATTCGCTTTGCCGAGGCAAGGAACGGCGGAAAGGCGCTTGAAAGGATGAAATGTAATTGTGAATTTTTCTGGTGCGTGTGCGTGAGTGTCAATTTTCTCTTTTATATTCAAATATTAAAAGACCGCAGCTTTCAAAGCAGCCGTCTTCGTCGTTGTGTGCTTTCTGTTGGGACAGTATGCTCCTTAAGGCTGATCGTACCCTTGGTTTTGCTGCACCGGATCCCAAGTATTGTCATCCCGGTGAGATGTGCTCGCCTCCACCGACTGCAGGTGAGACCCTTGCAGCATTCCCTTCTCAGCCAAACCAGTGCGTGGGCCGCTGATCGCACAGTTTTCTTCAAATCCGTTTCATCGGTTGCGGCGAAATAGGTGTCATTGATCAAGCACATAAGACAGAGAAAGTCGGGACGGGCTGATGGTACCAACGAGTAGTTTATTCCAAGGCGGTGATTTAAGTACGTTTCTCACCAGTACTCTTTCACACATACAATGTAAACACACTGTCATGAATAAATTAAATAAAGAAAAGCGTCGCGTTTCATTAAATTCCTTTAAATAAAAATAGCACTGAAGATATTTACTCGCTAGAACGACTCACAAGAGGACATGCAGCTTTATCAATGAAATTCCGCCTTTTAAACCTGGAACAGAATCCAAGGACTCTTATTATGCAGGCTTGTGCCAGGAGCATACATACCCGGTGTCGATCCCGTTCCTACTATACTTAATTAATTATTACGGAGAAAGAATCACTTGGGTCACCCTTTCCAGCCAGTAGAGTGAGGAAGACGAAAAAGTGTTTTATCGCTTTGAGATCAGCGAGAACCAGCTGCAGTTTGCCCTTTTGTTTCCTGAATTTGCTTATAGATAGAATACCTATCGCAAACGGGACGTGCGTATTTAGAAGCGCCTAAAGCGTCTGCCAGAGGATATCGGCGTGGCCCACAGCGGTCTGGGGGCCCGGTCTCGCCTCAGGCATTAACGGGAGGAGAAGGGCGAAAGGGGAGAGCCCAGCCAGCCCCGCGGCTGGCGAGCCGGGAGGGTCAGATCACGAAGCATCGCCCCTTGCTTGACACAGGGAAACAGAGACGAGAGGTTCTGCCGACACCAATCTTCAAAAAAACCAAACAAAAAGTCTCCTCAGCACTTTACCACTTTTT